ATATATATATATATATATATATATATATATATATATATATATATATATTAGTCATCATCATTCCAGAACGGCTTTATATATATATATATATATATATATCGATGCAGTCATCCATTCGGCTGTCCATTGTCCATTGGAGGACACAGACACTTGATGTCTACTGTTATTCACTTTCTTTTAGTTCGTTTGCAACGCTCAAAAACAGTTTGACAGTATAAAATATATGATGGAATTAATGAATTGATTTTGATGGAATTGATATATCAATTCGTACTTCTACCCTCATTTAAAGTGTTTGGTATTGTGGAATAGACAGTTCTGATTGTTAATTTACTTTTATTACGTTTTTTTTTTCATTAAGAAGGCTAATTAAAGATGAAGTAATAAGAGAGTAGAGTTGTAATAGTAGAAGTAAGGCATTTAACTATTTAAACAATGTCTTCTTATTGGGTTTTAATTCAACCAAAGAGATGCTCGAATTGCGCAGTTTGACAATTAAAGTAGGTGGTTACTGAAACTGAAAGAAGTTGGTGATATGACGTCGAAATCAAGAAGTTGATTTCTTGAGTTTCTGTCGTTGCAGCACTTGCGCAAGTAGTGCAATTGTGACGCTTTCATTTACTGCTTGTGGTACCAAATTCTTCTGCAACGTTTTATGTTCTTGCTTCTTAAGTAGACCACTGTTTTGCATTTTGTTCAGTACCTGTACAATGAGACATATTGATTACGTCCTATAAAATCATACCATGCAATTTGCAACAGAATTCATCTCTTAGGACACTCTTAAAAGTGATCAGTCTTTGTCCATCTATTTTCTGTCATCATCTCAATAAATAGGTGTGGCGGATTAAGCTTAATAGATTAAGGGAAATCCCTAATATTGATGAGATCTTAGGATGTTACTCTCCAAAAAAGGACTTTTTCGAGAAGTTCTGTATTCATTGGTAGATCACAAACTGCTTTCCTCAAATTTCCAACAATTTCTTTCTCACTTATTGATACATCTTCATCCAACAACTTGTTAAACGCTTCCTGAAAGTAGTGGACGATGATGTACCGGTGAATAGCCATTCATTTTGGGTTCAGTTCCTTGGATTCCAGCAAAAACTGACTTTTAGAATGTTTTAGATGTTGCACATCACATTAGATATCATTTCATTTGAAATACGACGATGTCAGCAAATTCTGGCCTTACTCTTTTGTGGACTGTTTTTTAGCCAAAAATTGATTCACTCACAAGTGTTACTGTTTTTTCCTCTTCTGTCCCATGAAATTACTTACTGTTTTTTCCTCTTCTGTCCCATAAATCTCGAGAATTGTTCGTATTTGTGCAAGTCCGTCAGCATACGATCGATCTTGTGGCTCGTTCGGTTCACTTTGTTTTGCATCAATGCTAAAATTTAAATATAACTCGTAGGGGAGTAATTTCTGCACTTATGGAGGAGAAAAGTTGCTTCTAATCATTTAATGAAGGAAGTGAGAAGTTTGAAATCAAAACTGCAACTTGCATCTGAGAAATTTCAAAATTGACAGTCGATCTTTCAATGAAACGCATTTTCTTGTAGCAACGCGATTGTTTTTTATCGAACATAAACGCATTTGTTTTGTTAAAGTCACCAAGTGTTGGACGATAGTATGTTTTCAGTTTCAAATCATTTAATTTAACGAATTTGTTCAAACAAAAAATTTACTTCATATCAGCAGGAGATGCTGTCATTGTCGCTTTTCCGTTGTCCTTCACACATTTCAACTTCTGAGTACTTTAAAATAAAATGAAGTAGATTTGTATTCTAAAAACAATTCTTAGACATCAAAATGAATAAGATTGGTTTTCCGGATCAAAGTGAAATCAAAGACTGTAAAGGGTTAGGGTGGAAAAAACAAAACGAAAAATCATATCTGTTTGAACTCCATTCCCTTCTCTATCTCTTCATCGGGAATCCTGAAATGTTCCCAGTCAATTCAGCAATTCTAACTTTTTTTTACTCGTATTAGTTTTAATTTTACTGATAATGAATAATAATTTTAGTGATCTCCTAGATTTTTGGCGTCATACCTGAATTCTGCATCTTGATCACTACAACTTGTTGGAGTATCTGTTGAGGAAGAGGCCACATTTGATGAGCTGATTTCATTCATCACTTCTTTCTCTTTGATTTTATTCGGTACCAACATCATTTCCCGTTCTTCTGATGATTCTGATTCTGCAGCACTAATTGAATTGTACAAACTATCCATTTCTTTTAGAACTGAATTGTTACTTCTTTTTGAATTTATTTTGTTGCCTACAACCGGTGCTGCTGTCGTCCCCTCTGTCCCTTCCGTAATGTTGTAATTTCTTATTCAGACGATGACATACCTGGTCCCTGGGTAGTGTCACTTTTTGTCTTCGCAGTTTCATCCGTTGTATATCGGACTCGTTTTGGCGCTGTTGTCATATCATGTACTTTACCCTTTTTCTGAATGAAAACACGCATGATTTTCCGGTCATTACCGCGTATTCTATCACTTTCACGTGTCGTTGTTGATGTAAGATCTTTTATTTTCATGTTATACTTCGTAGGCCTAACGTCTACTTTTGTTCTTACCATTTTTTCTCCTGATTTTGCGATCATTGCTATTCGTTTTTTTTCTTCACCAGTGAGACCGTCTTTCTCATCGGTTTCAGATATTTCGTTTTCTGTAATTGGACACAGCTGTTGCGAGAGACTTTTTTAATGTGATTGAAATATCTGGTTTCACCGGAGAAGAAACTGTCATGGCTGGAGGGGTTAAAATGCCCGTTGTTAGTGTAAATGGCGATGCTAATGAAATGAAGCTACCTGGTAATGTTGCAGAGGTAGAAGCGGATCGTTTTGTTTCCCCGATACCTTCCAATATCTTATCCTTTCTTCCTCGATCTTGTAAAAGTTCTTTTTCTGGTTTTCTCCTAAAACTCAGTTTTCCCCGAGCTTTCGCTTCTTCACTCTCCTTTTCACTTCCTGACGTTAACATTGCATCCACTCGTTTCATTTTTCTACCAAGTTTATCACTACTTTTAAATTTTTCTTGCCTGTTTCTTTCATTTTTTCCGCCTCCCCCTCCACTTTAATTTTTTTATTACCAACTTCACCTTTCTCCTCGTTTATAGTACCCTTATCTCCTTTATAAATGTCATGCCTTTTTACTTTCTTTGCTTTACGATTTTTTATTTTATACTGTTCACTCGTATTTTCCCAACTATTTCTGTGTTTTTTGGCTTTCTTCGTATCTCTAACCTTTTCAGATTCATTAAGCTCATCAGAAACCTTTCCTGTTTTTCCTTTACTTCTAGCTTCTCCTTTCGTTGCTTTTTTTCTGATTCGCTGATACTCTCTGATTCTTTATCAGATATACTTCTGTCTTTTTCCTTTCTAGTCAAATCCCTCACTTTTATCTTCCTCGATGACTTTTGAGATTCAACAGGGACTTTAAATTCCCTACCCTTTTTTCTACTTACTTTCTCCATCTTTTTTCCTTCCTTCTTTTCTGATCCACTGATACTTTCCGAATTCGTACCGGACGTGTTTACATCCTTCTTTTCCACAGTCATTCCTTTTGCTTTATTCTTGCCCAAAGTTTTCGTGAGTGTTTCTTCGATAATTTCAGCAGTTTTTGCCAGTTTCTCTTCTGACTTTTTGTTCTTTATTCTCTCCTTTTTAACTTTGTTGACCTTTCTCGAATTTTTCATTGCACAACTTCTGGGACTTTTTACACTCTGTTTGATTTCACTTTTAACTCCCGTTTTCCTTGCCACATCAGTTCTTGGATCTAATTTTTCATTAGTCCTTTTCACAGTCTTCTTGGAGGAATCGCTTGATTGCTCTTGCATGTCTAAAAATTGAAAAGAGCCAGAATCGTTCACAATGTCATGTGCAGGTTATCTTGAAAAAGCTCAGTAATTTGGAGTGAAAATCCTAATTTCTCAAGGATTTAGAAACATGGCTATGTGTTATCAGAAAGTGCAGATTTACGGTAAGAAACATTCTAGCAAGGAAACATATTGCAATTAATATAATGCCATCTAATACTTCATATAAAGTATGTATTAGATATATCAAAGCAATCACAGTTCTTCTTTCCTTTACTTTAAATATTTAAATATAATACCATTTTGGCTGCGAATAGGTCAATGCTACTGTTCAATAAGATTAAAATTTTACAAATTTATTCGAAAAGGGCTTTTTTCAGAGTTTCTTCGCAACCTTTTCTGTGATTCCTTCTGTCGTGATGTTTTTGCGCCTCTTGTCTCAGCTTGTCTCCTCTTGTCTCTGTTGAGCTGCTTTCCGTTTTACTTTTTTCAATTTTTTTCCTGATGAAATCACTACCCATATTTTTCGACATGCTGTACTTTGTTTTGGGTTCATGTGAGAATTCTTCCGAACGATTATTTGTTGTAGGTAACCCTGACTTTCTGCTTTTACTCACTTTGTCCGAAGAAATCTTGTTTCTGCTCCCGTCCATGTCCGGGGTTTCTTGTTGGTCTTCTAGCTCTTCAAATTTCTTCCTTTTTTCATGCATCCTATTCTTGGAACCTTTATAGTTATATTTCAGTTCACGATGTTTTTTCCTGTGTCTCTTATCTGCACCTGCAGAGATCCTAAAAACGAATCTTCAACAGCCCTTCATAATTTTCTATTTCCGGATGCAAAACTAACACAGTCTTGCACTCTTGCACTCACAAATTATGCTGTCGAGATCAAATGGTATCAGAATAAAAATCGTAGAATTTGATACCCAAACTCTTCAAGCAACAATACCATTCCTTTCATTTTGATCATGCGAGTATGACCATTTTCAGAGTTTCTGACCAGTCACTTAATTGCATTTTCTGACTTTTCAACAGTAAACATGACTGCTCATCTGTCTTTTGAAAAAAGTCAGGGCTTCAACCTTATAGGTCATAAGACTATCGGTAGTTTGAATCATTTGACCAATTCATTATGAATGAGCAAAAAACTTTATGGTCAAAAGTACTATAATAAAAAGTGAGCTGTTATTTATTTAACAGGATTTATGCATTTGTACACTTTTTTTTAGCTTGCGTGAAGTCCTAACGCTGACGTACATGATCACGACGACAATCAGCATTAGTAGTAAATACCTTTTAGATTCATCACTTTTGTATTTGTCAAGCGGTTTCGTTATTTCTGTTACACTCTTTAATATCCAATCATTTTTCGAATCCATTTTTTAGAGTACAATCTGTAACTGCAAGTTTAAATAAGTTTTTGATGGGTTGGAATACAAAAGAAGTATAAAAAATTTGATCGCACAGAAAATCTAATGTTGAATCTACATTTTATATATTCAGCTGTGAGACGAAATGTATGGGTTTAGATTGACATTTCGGTCCTCTTTTAGAAAAATCTTATTTCACTATGTAAGTTCCAGAAATTTAAGCCAGCATGGTAGAAGTATACGTGTGCAGCATGCAGAAGCTATTACTTTCATTAGTGAATGAATTAAATGAGATAAGAATGAGGTGTGAATATAAACCCATGTTTATGGGAACAAAATTTACACATGTTTACATCTGTGGATAAACAACTCAAGTTGAAATCCTTATGAATGATTGGAAACAAAGGGAAGTGGGACAAAATATCTTGATAGTTCATTAAAAAAAACAAATAAAGACTAATGAAAAGAACATACACCAGAAACGTAATACCGGCCGTTCATCAAGTCGCTTAATCACAAATTACCGGAGAAGCCTAATATTTCCCGCCTTTATTGATGAAAACAGCCGAACAGAAAGTGCACAGCGAAGCCGACATTTGTTACAATAAGGAATAAAATACGGCTGCATGGAGTTTCCAAATTACTTTTAAAACTCATTATATCCACAAAATGAAAAAAACAGCAAGACAAGTCCTCTGAGCTGCTTCAATATTCTTAGTGTTAGAATACTTTGAAAATTTAAAAATTAGCTGGATTGTGAATAATGTTTTGGCAAAAGATGCAAGAAATACTAATTCCGAAATAATAATCTAATAAGTTATAGAACAAAACTTTCAGGTTTTCAAAACTCCAAGTAGAATCTTGACAGTTTTTATGACTGATCCACAAATACTTCCAAATTATATCCATGAGTCACCAGAAATTCGTAGAGTGAGTGACGTCCGATGAAATCCATTAGTTTCAAACAAACTGAGATTGCTATATGTCCATCAGAAACTGGAAGTGATTTTGGAACACTTTTAGCACAATAAGTGAAACAGATGGTAAAATCTTGGCCACTAGAAAAATTGGTTAACTGAGTACTACGATACTGCTCCATTGCAGAGAACCCCGAAATTCAAATACCATCCAGAAGAGAACGCCTATCATGACTAAAAAATTTTATCTGAAATATAAGCAGCTCATTTGCAGATATTACAATAATTACAAGACTTTAAGTAATAAACAGGTTTGAAGCGAACTATTCAACTGCAGGAGCACACATACATGCATTTCAGCTGTTAACGAAAGTTTCCAATCGGCCAACGTCTGATTGATCTCCTAGCTTTTCCAGACATCTAAAGCAGTGTAGTCAACAAATTGCAGGCAAAAATAAACATATATGAAGTGTATAAAAATATGAAAGCGTCAACCTTATCATCCAAGCTTCCATATAACACCACACAATTTCACATTTGATCTGTACAAATGCTGGTATCCTTTTGATGACTCTTCCAAAGTGCGTGTTTAGCGTAGATTGTTAACTTTACCACTTTTTATCAAAGACTGATCAAACCCTGCTGACAGATTATATTTATGCGGGAAAAGGAGTCATAAATGCTATTTTGCCAAAGATGACGCAAAATCATTATTTGACATAAATCGTTTCAGATAGCAGCATTCAAAGATTTTTTACATAAAGTATTTGAAAGAAACTGTACCTATTGCATTTTTTACCGGAATGAAAAACGAGATCTATATTATAAATAAAGTGTATCAAAGGACCTCCCATTAAATAAATTGGAGTTCGCACAAAAGAACCACCCTATAAGATCTTGGAAAGAATGAAAAAACAACAGGCAGATATTCTCCTAAGAAATAAGAGTTGTTTTCATTGTCCGAATAATTTTGCAAGTCCTATTGTTAAGTAATTATACCTACGACGACTTTTGTATATGAGATTTATAATTTATACATTTCGTTCATCTCGCTTAATAAGATAAGGAACGTTACAACTGAAATAAATTTAAAAATAGCTAAAGAAGAGTGTTGTATATTTTGAAATATCACCATTGCTATTTGACAAATCTTGCACCGTTTTTTAAGATGATCCACTCAAAACGTCTTCCTGTGCAACACTTTCTTCCCTTCGTCTTCATATTCCTTTTTGCTAACCCACATTTTCTTGAATGTATCAAGACTGGCTAGAATTGAACCCCCTATCCAAGTACCATACAATCGCTCCTGCGGTGCGGATATTCGAATTTTTACGTCTTTCGGTGCCAATCGACGCGTCTGTAACCGACATAAATTTTTTCCATGGATTTTAATGGAAAAGAAAATTTGTCTTGCTAAACAAAATACTGATAAATCAAGCAGCATATGTTTAGCAAAACTTACTTCAGCTAATAATCGATCACCAAATCCAGTGAACATAGTTGATCCGCCACTTAATACAATATTGCTATACAAATTCTTACGCAGATCTATTTCACAACGCTGAAAAAAATAGAATTTTGTATTTAGTAAGAATAAAGTAAAGTTCCCTTCCAATCCAACCTTTTCAATCTTGTTTAGCTGAAGCAAATCCTATTTAGCTGACGCAAAAACCAGGTTTAAATCTGAAATAGCACAGCTACTTGTAAAAGTTCTCTGGCTAGAGCAAAGATAGCGCTACCAATAACTAGAATTTAAAAGCTTAGGAACAAAATAGAACCCTGATCTCCTGCTACTTTCGTTCATAATTATTATGCTTTATTAAACTGCGATTATGAATTACAAGAAAGACAGAAAGTTATTTTCTCCTTAAAACGCATAATATACATGGTGCGTTTGCTTGAGGCATGAAACTACCGCCCATGTATGTGATTAATCTGAAAAAATTCAATAAATTTTAGAATTTGATATTTGTAGCTATCATATTTTCAAATTTCATGAATTTTTACACTTTCCGCCATTTTCGAGAGAGCAACTTCACTTCATTAAAGACCGTAACAACCCTTGAACTATACATTTAGCACTATCATGGGCAACTGATAAGAAACAAAAATTAACAGATATGTTAAAGTGCGTACTCTTATGGATAAATCGAGAGCATTAGCAATGCCTGGCCACTCTTCGCCAATAATGTCTGGCCGAAATAGTATCTCGGCAGCACGAAATCTAGCTGGTCCAATTTCCAGTGTTGAACCATCGGGAAGTTTATATGCCGCCTGAATTTAGAAGCCGCTAAAGTTGTAAAATTGCTGCAGGGAACCATATTTAGCGAAGTCCACCTTGACAACTATTACAATAACTACAAGCAAAATGAAACATACTTTCTCGCTTTCGTTATTTTCTTCTTTTGCAGCATTTGTTGCAATGTAACACATTTTTTCTTTAATTTCTCGGACGATTTCAAATTCTGATGAACGATGAAAGTTTGCTCCTTCTTTACGAAGTAAGAGACGAAGATATCTGGTCACATCTCGTCCTGCGACATCCATTCTCTCAATTCTAGATTATTCATAACTGACTCAATTTTAGTTATATCGAATGCAAAAAGAACAGCTACTGATAACAGTAAGAAACAATCAACAGTCACGCCAACGATAATTTGATAAAAAACGATAAATATCATTCCAGTATGTTGGTACGTTTGTTAGTATTATCCTCATTTCCAGTAGTACGCATTTCAAAAATTCTTTGAGAATTAAGTAATATGACTACAGTGATATACGCTTTACTGCATCTTCGCTGATGGCATAATCGTACAGTCCATCAGTTTCTCAAAAGAACTCATAATGCAATCCGGTTCAATTTATTCGCTAGTTGGTTTGTCAAGAATGGGAAGAGAACATAACAAAAACTGAAGCACTGTGAAACATATCCAAAAATGATTCAGAAAAACGGACCCATGCTGTATAGCAAAACCTTCGAAGATAGGCACAACATGTGTTACACCATCTCCTGAATCTAGAACGACGCCTGTTGTACGACCTGTCGAATAAAGTGAAAGGACAGCTTGCATTTGGATGTGCAGTGCAGGTATGTTAAAAGTTTCGAAAAAAATTTCAGCCGATTTTTCTCGATTTCTAAGTGGATTTAGAGGTGCTTCTGTAAGTAACACTGGATGTTCTTCCGGGAATATCTGAAATTATAAAAACAATATGAATATGACAAACAAATCCACCAACAAAGCAAGTTTCGTTCAAAACAAAGAAGGACGAAGTAAGGATTGAAATAAACAAACTAAAATACCTGCAACTGATCTTTACTGTAAATATACTGCCATACGCGTTCCATATCATTCCAGTCCGTTATTATGCCATGTTCCATTGGGTACTTCAACGATAGCAGTCCTCGATACTCCTGTGCTTTGGGACCTAAATGAACATAAGTTCTATGAAATTGGATTCAGCACAAAGCTAATACATGAGGCAAGGAACCTAACAGAGAGCAAACGTGCAGAACAAATCTGCAAACTGTTCAGCAAATATTCAAAATAATTAGGCAACAAGTATATTTTATACATAACGAAAGCAAAAAAACTCGACCTATGAACAAATCGCCCTCGAGAGCACCAGCCATTACTCTGGTATGCTTCGGTCGTCCGACAAAATTAGCAAAACGACATTTCGGTGTCTGGTCACCAGCAAATCCAGCCTTTATTACTCCAGACCCATTATCGATAACAACTGGCTGATTTGCTATCACATCATAAGAATCCATGGCTCAACCCGTCGACAAACCTTTCAGGTATTAAACACTAACAAAGAAAATTTCAAATCACGTTTTGCTTGGTAAAACAACCAAACACACAAGACTGCATTTATCCAAAATGCTACAAGTTATCAGGATATTTACAGCATTATAAATGAAGCAGAAAATAAAAAGCTTAATAAAACTAAATATGCCGTATGAACTACGCCAAGCATTCCCACTATTTTTTCGTCAAACAGTTCGACTGTGAGATTGTTATAGAATTACAGGAAAAAAATTCCAAATCTAGCTAAGCCAACCAACTCAATTTTAAGCGTTTAATTTGTTACTACAATACACATGAGACTTTCAGCAACGGTACCATGCAATGCGATCCGTCATTTTCCGTGGCTTTTCAACAACAGATGAAATGGATATAAACACGAGGAGTTGAGAAATACAGCTCTAATTAGTTGTACAATGTTATGATTAGTGTTAACAAATTTTATTCCATACAAAATAATATTAAAAAGCAAAAATCGAAACAACTCGATAACAGTCCCTTACTGAGTGAAAATAGGACAAAAGAAATCACGGTTTTTTATTAACCTCCTTTCTTCTTCGATACACCAACAGTGCGACCTTTTCTACCTGTTGTCTTAGTGTGTTGCCCACGTACGCGAAGTCCCCAATAGTGTCGAAGTCCTTAAAATACTAACGACAATAAAATCGAGATAAAAATACTTCAAGCTAATAGTAAACCCTTTGCAAAACTTAAAGTCGCTTAAGTTTTCAATGTAATGAACTTGATCTCATAAAGAGATGTGCTTATACGCAGAACAGAGTCAAGTCAAAATTTGTTTGGCCAAGGAACTATTTGTCCCTATTCCAATCAACGGTTTTTTTTTTTTTTACCGAACCAACAAATTATTCAACAGCTGATCGGCTACAGACGATACAGGACACGTTTCCCCACCACAAACGTACAACCACAGCGCATAACCATAAAAAGAAATCATTTTTTTCCGCCCCTACGTCTGCAACCACTCAACATACAGCCGATTACTTTTTTTTTTTTTTGTATGCATACAGACTGATGTATCTGTACCTCTATGCAGACGGATTTTCTTCAGTCTCTCCAAATCTTCACGAAGCTTATTATCAAGCGATGTAGAAAGCACCTGAAAAACGGATAAATTTGGTGAGTACAAGCACGTAATTGGCCAAAACATATTCAATAAACGTATAGCCACAGCAAACCTTACAATTATAAAATAAAAACCTATAACCTGAGAATACTTTCCATCCTTGATATCCTTTTGCCTGTTCAAAAACCAATTCGGGATTTTATACTGACTGGGATTTTGCATCACTTGCTGTAACTTCTCCAAATCTTCTTCCGATAGTTCGCCAGCACGTCGATTAATATCAATATCAGCCTTTCGGCAAACAACAAATGCAAAACGTCTGCCGACACCCTGAAATTATTCATTTTGTGTCTAATAAGCAAAGATATAAGCAAAGATTAACAAGGTCATCGAGGTGTCTAGTCGTCTTGTACATCACTCTCATAATAACCATTAATAAACAAGCTTACAAAAATTGTACCTTAATAGCAGTGAGTGCGAATGGTACTTTTCTGTTTCCATCGATGTTCGTATTCATAACACGATGAATATGCTGAAACTTCTCCGGTATTATCAACGACATCTTCCGTCTCTCTGCTCTGTCTCTGCAACGTGATTGCAATTATCACCATCATATCCTTTACCTATACTTCTCGTACCTCGGGAATCACCGAACCTCCGCCACCCCCCCCCACATGTCTCACAAATCCCTAAAGTTTGTACAGCCATTGGTTTACCTCTAGCCTATGTCACTACGACCACCTCGCGATGAAAACAACTGCACCACCAATTAATGAGCCGATAGTGTCGTCGCCCAGGCCACAAACGATATGTTATCATTGGTTTAGGATGATTAGGATAAATCCTTAGTTTCATTGTGCCTCAGATGGAGAAGTTTCCTTTCTAAATCAGCAGATAATGCTACACGGGATAGAAAACTCAATCTATTCACTTCAGATGTCATGCATTCCACTGCGCAGTCATGCATTTTATATTACCTCATTCAACAAAACAAATAACTAGCTTTCAGAAATCCAGGAAATATTGAATTCATACGTTTGTGAAAATGGGAAAAAAAATGCTCCGATAAGGGGATACTTCAACATTCAGAGGAACGATCTAGATTCTCTTTAAATTTAAAATCTATCAGCCGGTATCCCACGACATTGCGGACACAACACCATGATCAGCAGACCTCCCCACAACTACCCATGGTCATATCCAGATAATGCTCAGATTAGCTGACACTGTTCCTGCTCACTATGAAATTTGTCATCTTCCCTCACTTTATTATTTGCGTGATGTCGTTTGTGACTATATCACGTGAGAGATCTGAGAGATGTCTACGGGGGGGGGGGGGGGGAGAACGTCATAGATGGAACGCTCGTATGAATTCATGCCAATACATGAATTAATACGGAACATTTTCTTGTCCGTTGCGTGAAGTCGAGAAAGTTTTATTGTCTGATGTAGGATGATCGAAATGAAGAGTTCATTTCAGATGATTGCCCTTCTTTTGTGGTTTGCAACAGTGTTCACAACAATTTCAGCGATATATGAGGACCAGATTGGCAAGTTCGATTGGTTAGATTCATAAATAATAATTTAATTAATTAAAGATTCATTTTTCCCCTTTTATCTTTCATTTGTATACAGAATAAATAAATATTACTTTGCTGATTTGAAAAATTTTGAAATAGGTGCGATTCAGGCATCATAAATACGTTGGTTGTGCTCGGGAGCTGCATATGGAACGGCTGAAGGGTACGAAATTACCACATATATTTGTTTCAACGGAAGCTGACATGGTCGCATCATTGAAAGCATCGACTGGACAGATAGGTACCATTTCATAATATCATTCACTAACATTGGAAATATTGGGGATGTGGGACTTTGGCATTTTCAGTCACCCAATGCTAACACACTAGCTAACACACTATTCTTTGTCTTTGAATTTTTACGGTGAACGTTTTCTGAAAGCAAGTAACTGTTGTACAGTGTTGTGGTATTGCCAATATACTAGATGATGATGGGGGTGTGAGAGAATACATATGCATCTATTGGTGGGTATACTATAGCGATACATAAATGTTGTATGGACAGGAAGGGATATATACAAAACAGGTGAGTGTTCCTTCATCACCTAACTGTTAGATTGTTACAGCTTGGAGGCAACAGTTGGAACGTGCATCTGCACTTCAACTCTCATTCTCACCAGCGGCCAAATGTAATTCTTCATATTCATTGTAGCTTTTTCTCCTCGATTTTGAGCTTTGCTAAACATTTAATTTTGTTTTGTTTCTGTTTTGCTGTTTTAAGTTGCATTTTTTACCAGTTCAGTAAGAGAGTTTTCAGTATTAATAACAGTAACAAAAGAAAATGAGGTGGTGCGAGCATGGAATCGAGATAGCGGAGTATTGGTCTGGGAAACTCAAATTCAACAAATTACTCCTGGGTAATAAAGCGGTTCATTCACCATATGAAGCGTTCACAAAATGAGATTGATTTCAAAAAAAATGCTGATAATAAGAATATTTTTAGAAAACCTAGAAGTGTTCAGAAATCAAGTTTTTCATTTAGGGAATGTATCAGCTACAAAGAAAAAAGAAGTAATAGGTCAGTAATGCCAAGGAAGGAGTAATCTATATATATGCA